TCCAGCTTGAAGGACCCAGTTCCGCTGTTCCCTGTAAGGTGTTCAAGGGCTTGTTTCAGAACTGGATGACTAGTACTGCCTCTTAGTCTGGAAGTTCCATGGAAACCTGGGCCCCCTGGCTGGCCCTGCTGATAGCATCGTGGCAGAGCTTTCAGCATCACAGCAACACACCACCCGCCACAACACTGCAGATGGATAGATGAGTGGTAGTAGAAGCAAGTTGTTGTTATGTGTCGTCGAGTCACCTGTGACTCATAGCGACCCTGTGTACAACGGCCTTAAACCCTGCTCTATCCCTTGCCAATTTATTGTCTCTGACACACCTATGCCCCATTACCCCAGTCACTGACTCAATCCATCTCGAGGATCTTCCTCTCCTGCACTGTCCCTCCACCCTCCCAAGCGTGACGCCCCTCTCCAAGGGCTGGTCCCTCCTTGCAACATGTCCAAAGTATGTCAGATGGAGCTTCAGAATCCTTGCCTTCAGGAAGCAGCCTGGCTTCACCCTCTCCGGGACAAACTTGTTTGTTCTCCTAGCAGGCCACGGTGTATTCAGTACGCTTCTGCAGCACCACAGCTCAAAGGCATCAACTCTCCTTCTATCATCCCTAGTCATTGTCCAGCTCTCTGATGCATAACAAGTGACTGCAAGGACCATAGCCTCTGTATCTTTCTTTAAAAAAATTATCTTTTCAATAAACAATGTGTATTTTTTTAACTTTTTAACCTTTTTTTTTAAATTTTACTATCTTTTGCGTGTACCGTCAAATGGGATCTGACCTGGTACAGGAGGAGATTGCCCTTCCTTCTCCAGTAGAGCATCTGGTGGATTCAAACTGTGTACCTCGGGGATTGCAGTGTAGCTTCTTGCCAGTAGGCCACCAGAGCTCCCTAACAATGTGTATTTTTTTTTTATTTTTATTTATTTATTTTATGTGTGTACCGTCAAATCGGATCTGACTGGTTACAGGAGGCGATTGTCCCTCCCTCTTCATCAGAGCATCTGGTGGATTTGAACCGTGCACCTCTGGGATTACAGTGCAGTTTCCTGCCACTAGGCCACCAGAGCTTGCCAACAATGTGTATTTTTTAAAGTCTTATTTTTAAAATTTTTTGTTTTGCTTTGAGTGAAAGTTTGTAGAGAAAATTGGCTTCCCGTTCTATCATGCCCACAGACACTTAGTTCTCAGACATTAATCACAGTCTGCACCATGGAACAGGACTGTCTTAAGGCTCATCTCCATTGGTCCTTTTTCCCTTCTGGCCTTTGAGTGTTTTCTGAGGCTTACAGGGCCCTTGGGGAGCCCCCAGCCTTCACTGTTCACCCTGGAAGCCTGCCTGTTGTTTGGTTGGAAGCTGATCCACTGGGGTGAATTTTGCTCCAGCCTCAGGGGATGACTACAGGCCATTGTCTCCAAGGTTCCACCAGTCTGTGTTCCTCCGGAAAACCTGCTCTTTTTTTTTTTTAAGTTTTGTTGCATCTTTTTTCCCTCTCAGCCAAGGACCCTCTGCTGTTTCTCCACTCAGCCCAGGACCCTCTGCTGTTTCTCCACTCAGCCTAGGACCATCTGCTGTGACCCCGTTTGTTGTTGTTATTTGGTTCTGATGAGTCAAGTCTGACTCGTAGTAAACCCATGAACAGCGGATCAGAACCTGTTTCCTTGCTCTCTCTGTTCTGACAACTGCCTCCTGATCCAAGTATTTCACATAAGCACAATCAAGTGTTCTGGGATTCCCATTCTTCTCAGAGTCAGCCATAGTTTGTTATGATCCACACAGTCAAATGCCTTTGCATAGTCAATGAAACACAGACATTCCTCTGGTATTCCCTGCTTTCAGCCAAGATCCATCTGACATTAGCTATAATATCCCTAGTATCAACACCTCTTCTAAATCCAGCCTGCACATCCGGCAGTCTTTGTTCATGTGCTGTTCCAGTCATTTTTGGATAATCTTCAGCAGAATCTTGTTTACATGTGATATTAATGATATTGTTTGATAATATCTGCACTCAGTTGGGTCGCCCTTCTTTGGGATGGGAACAAATATAGATCTCTTCCAGTCAGTTGACCAAGTGGTTGTCCTCCAGATTTCTTGGCACAACTTGGTGAGCATGTCCAGCGCAGCGTCTGTTGAAACATGTCCTTTGGTATACCGTCAATTCCTGGGGCCTTGTTTTTGCCAGTTCTTTCAGAGCAGCTTGAATTTCCTCTTTCATCACCACAGGCTCATACGAGGGGTTTTTTCTCATACGTTTTTTAAATTAAATTCTTCTGTGTCCACCAATTCCTTTTGGTACAGTGACGCTATATACTCTTTGTATCTTCTTTTAATGCTTCCTGGATCATTTAATATTCTGCCTGAAGCATCCTTAAGTATTGCAACTCGAGGCTTGAATTTGTTCTTCAGTTCCTTCAGCTTAAGAAATGCTGAGTGAGGGAGCTCTGGTGGCTGCACTGCAATCCCGAAGGCACACGGTTCGAATCCACCAGATACTCTGCTGGAGAAGGAGAGGCAATCTGCACCTGTGCTAGTCGGATCTGACTCGATGGTAACAACAAGGGGGAAAAAGACAGTGAGAGGAAGAAACACTGAGCGAGTTCGGCCCCTTGATTTTTTGACTCCAGCTCTTTGCACGTTTCATTATATTTTACTTTGTCTTCCTGTACTGCCCTTTGAAATCTTCTGTTCAGCTCCTTAACTTCCTGCTTTTTTCCTTTTGCTTTGGCTTCTCGGCGCTCTAGTGCAGTATTCAGAGTTCTCTCTGACATTCGTCTTGGTTCTTTTCTTCTTCCTCTGTCTTTGTCCTGACTCCCTGAATTCTTCCTGAATGATGGTCTTCGCCCTCCCACAGCTCATCTGGTCTTCGTAAGCAGACACTAGTGATTGGAACATGGAATGTAAGAACCATGAATGTAGAAAACATTGTTAAGAAAGAAATGGAGCTCATAAATATTGACATACTAGGTATTGGTGCAATGAGCTGGACTGGTCAGAGGCATTTTGAGTAAGACAATGATTTCTGATCTACTGTGCTGGAGATGAAAAGATGAGGGAAAAGGGGGTCACCTTCATAGTTAAAAAAAGTCATTTCTAGATCTGTCTTGACATATAATATTGTGGCAGGATAATATCCACATGCATACAAGGAAGTCCAGTGAATACCACCATCATTCAAATATGCACCAACAACTACAGCCAAAGAGGAGAAAATAGAAGATTTCTACCAACTTCTGCAGTCAGAGATCAGTCGGACATGCAGTCAAGATGCATTAAAGACTAAGGTGCCCCGGCTTCAAATCATGGTCTTCTTCCCTGTCACCAATCATCTGAGAACTAGGGAGTGAATAAGGATGATATAAAGATTGACAGCTTTAGGTTGTGGTATTGGAAAAGAGTGCTGAGTATCCTATGGGGAAGCAGAAACCAAACACATGTCTTGGGAAAAGTGCAGGCAGAGTGCTCCTTGGAGACAAGGATGGCAAAACTTCACGTCACATCCTTTGCACGTGTTGTTTTGAGAGGCTATTCCTTGGAAATGGACATCATTCTTGGAAAGATGGAGGGTCAGAAGAAGAGAGGAAGACCCTCAACAAGATGGGTTGACAGAGTGCTTGTATCAGTGGCCTCAGGGGTGTCAGAGATGAGGATGGTGGCACAGGATGGGACAGGATAGGATCTGTTGTTTCTAGGATGACTGTGCTATCGGTTCAGGGGCACCTAACAACAACAACGTCCTCATGGTACCCAGCCAGCAACCTTGACATCATCTTTTATTAGTATTCATTTTTTTTCTTCTTTAGAGTTGTGATGCCAATTAATTCTTCTGTTTCCTAAATCTTTTATGAAAATGCGTGCACTTTAGCTGTCCCCAGTCCTGCTATCACCTACCCTGGCCTAAACCAGTCTCTACAGTCCATTACTCCTGACAACCTTCCTCTCATGGTATTTGCTTTCTTCGTGTGCACACACCCTGTGATGTCAGACCATTCACCCTCACCACTGCACCCTGTGTCATACCCGTCAGCGGCTCCGCTTTGCCTCAGATAACGCTCACCTTGCCTAACAGGAATCTGACAGATGCAGAGGTTAATGTACTTCCTGCCAACTGGAAAGTGGGTAATTAAACTTACCTGTTACTCTGTGGGACAAAAGTGTGGCAGTCTGCTTTGTGTAGCTGTGGGAAGCCCAAGGGGGCATGCATGTGCCCTCCCGGGTGGCTGTGGGTCAGCACTGGCTGAGGACAGTGAGCTTGGTTGGTTCCCCTTCATCTCAAGCCTCCGCCGGTACACGGTACACGGCGCGGCAGCCTGACAGCCTCACCTGCTCCTGAGTCCCCTCACACGCTCGCTCCTCTGCCTGCCCAAGGAGCGGCTCGGCCCCTGCTCAGCCTCTGGTTCACCTTCAAGAGGACTTCCTGGCCGGGGGTGGTGGGGGACCCACCTGGACGCTTAGGGCATGGGCTCCGAGCTGGCAGAGCGCTCATCACACCTTCACCCTGTCTCTCTCCTGCCCTGGACCCTGGAGGCATGTGCATAACATGCTAGGCTGCTTCCCAGGAGGTCAGCAGTTCTAATCCAAGGGAGAATGGTGAGGCTGTGTCCTCCCATAGAGACGGAGAGCTGTCAGTGGATCTCCATGGGTGTCAGTGTGACACACAGGGCTGGTTTGGGTCTTGGTTCTGGCACTCCTGTAAGCCCAGAGAGGGCCACATGTCCTCATCCAGGGCTCTGTGTGCGAGTCCTGGTGCCCGACACATGGTTGGTGTAGTCTTTGTCTTTCCACATCACTCATGCGCTGTTCTTTTTTTTTTTTTTTAATTTTTGTGTGAGTGTACCGTCAAATCAGATCTGACTGGTACAGGAGGAGATTGTTCCTCCTTTTCCCGGCAGAGCATCTGGTGGATTCGAACCGTGTGCCTGTGGGATTGTAATTGCAGCTCCTTGCCACTAGGCCACCAGAGCTCCCCTCATGCGCTGTTCTGTGTTGTCTCTCCCCAGTGTCTCAACGACATCCTGGAGTCGGCGGATGTACCGCTGGAGGTCACAGAAGGCTTCATCCAGACCATCTCCCTGTCGGTCCCCTGGGGCTCCTTGCTGCAGGACAATTGTGCCCTGGAGGTGAAGGGCCTGGAGATGGTCTTCCGGCCCCGGCCCCGCCTGGGTAGGTGTCCTCCATGTGTCATGTGTCGGCCTGGTCAGTCTCTAGTCCTCTCAGACAGGGAGCGCGGCAGAGCTGCATGCTCTTCTGTGTTTGGTGTCCCTCATGGTATTTATGAGAATGCCATTGATGAAGGTTAGAACCAGGCCCTCTGTGGACGTGCGTGAGTGTGGGCGTGCGTGAGTATGGGCCTGCGTGAGTGTGGGCCTGCGTGACTGGGCTGTGTGATTGTGGCTGTGCGTGACTGGGGGTGTGCGTGACTGTGGATGTGC